GAAAGAGATGTTAGACCAGATGTCATATTGAAATACTGCAGTGAAGTGTTTCAAGGTCCTGCCAAGCCACATTTAACCCCAAACTAATACATCACACAAAAAGTCTGAATCAAAATCAATAAATAAAACTTGAGCACCATGGATTAAACTGTGCAGGGATAATATTAAACAGTCAACAGGTTGGGTTTGAGCCAAATCCACTCCAAACACTTTGGCAATTACTTTAACACTGTTTAGAAAATGCCCCATAGCAAGGCTTTGTGTGTGTGAAGGGATGGGGAGGGAGACTTCCTGAAAGCTCTCAGACACCAATTACGCTGCTTCGCACTGAGATTCATGAGCTTGACAAGACTAGTGTTTGAAGTCTTTACTCCCAGGATCTTAGTAGTGCTTGGGAAAAGATCCACCATTAACATGATAACACAAAAACTCTCTCCTGTTGTAAAACCTGGAGGTGCTGGTGTGAACATTATTCAAAAGGTCTGAGTTGACATGTAGCCTCACAATGAGCTTGTGTTTTTTTTTTTTTTTTTAAACATTGTGTAGTGGAGATGGCGTCAGACAAGCCTTCAAAGCGTAAGCAAGTCACTTAACGTTCTTTGTAATCTGTGGTGTTAAAGCCGCACTTCATTAGAAACTGGCAAATGCAACGATCAGTTTAGAGTCTAAGTTACATTTTGTCAATTATATTTGTTGACATTTTGATCATGGCGGTGGCTAAATCTTCAAAATGAGTGACTCGGTATTTCTTGTTTGAAAATCATACAGCTCAGTTAAACTACAAATAGATGCAAAATAACCACGAAGACAGAGAAACCCATCCCAAAAAAAGACCCCAAAATATTTTGACACCCCATAGCCAAACGGTTATGGTGTGTCACACCATGTACATGGCAGCACACTGTGTCGATGGATCGAGTCCGACCACCAACACCTGTCACAGGTCTCCCCTGCCCCTCTCTCTCTGCCCACCTCTCAGCAATTTACTGTAAATGAAGGCTGAGATTTACTGAAACAATAGGGAACAGAACACTGCAGAATACTGAATTAAAAACAATGAACTCAAGTTTGGACCTGGAAACAGATCGTTACGCCACTACTTAACAAGCAGATAAAGAAGGGCTGGGTGGCCTTTTACCTGTCTGTGCCCAGGGGCCCGTTTCCTCATAATCCATCCACGACTGAAATAACAGAGCAAATGCTTTCTGCAAGAGGTCTGCCTTAAAAGTGCCACAGGTCTATGATTTGGATGATTCAACACGACAGTGCCTATAATCTTACAGGAACTACATCAACTCTGAAATCCCTTGAAGACCTTGTTCAGCACAGTCAGTCCTGAATCCCACTGAAACTCTGTGGAATGACTTGACAGTGTTCCTAATGAGTTTCATCCAATCTGCAAGAAAAACTGGGATAAATACTCTAGCCCCGTTTGTGCCAAGCTCTTAAAGACTTATCTTGGTAGATTCCATAAGCTGTAGGTAATCACTGTCAAAAGGGGTGAATGTGAGAGCCCAGAGTTTTCAGATTCAGCTTGTCGGATTAGTGACACATCAGAGAAGACTCAAAGCTGCAGTAGTCGCTCTCAAATGTGCTCCTACTGTAGCAAGCACCAAATGGTGAGGAAGAGATTTAGCCTGGATATTTCAAATATTTCCCATTTTCCAAAAGGTATGCTAACCATAACAGCAAAAAGGTGTGACTTGCACTAGTTTGTACCTGTCCATCTGATTGCATCTGTTAACTCATAACAGACAACTGAGGACTAAAATCCACCAACGGTTTACACAGCCTTTGTGTTACAGACACCCCACAGTGATAATACTCAACCAAGGCCGTCGTGGAGATAGCTTCAATTCTGTAAGTGTCTTAACAGCTGTGTATGAATAAAATAAAAACGCACACATGCACACACAAGGCAGCAAAGAAGACACAGCAACCTGAATTAAACCCAGTTATCTGGAACCCCTTGGAGTTCAATTATCTAGTGGCCCTCTGACCCACACTGGCTCCTCTAGTCACCACCGCAGTGTGGCCAGAATAATGGCCGCCCCCTCAGCCGCTGACCTCATGCCGTGTTCTCGGGTTTGTCGGGAAACAAGGGGAGGAAAAAAAAAAACCTTTCTACTCAATTACTCCCGCCGCCCCCGGCCACCGAGCAAACACAAAGGAATCTGGCTTCATTAAAACCATCTCAGTCAGGAACGAATCAAACAGGCTAATTTATCACCAGCCATGTAGGGAGTGAGGGGGAGTGTAGGGACACAGAGACCGGCTGGTGTGTGGTTTCCAGTCAGTCCATGTAAAAGACAGGCATCTTTAACATGGACTCTCTTTTCTATCAGCTATGTGCATGTCTGTGCCGCTACTGTGTGACAACAGCGAGTGGGTGGATTTGAAGAAACTTGACAGCAACTTCAATACAGTCCTCAAGGCAAAAATGCAACTTTGACAGCTGTGTGCACCACTGTCTGTCTCAGTGCAAATGAAAGGAAGAAAGAGACACACACAGGGGGGGAGCTGAAGGAGTGAAAGGAAGGTAGAGATGCTGCCTGGGGGCCCCTCACAGCAGACAGACTTTATACATGGGAGGAGGGGTGAGGAGGCAGAGGAGCAGGAACGTATGAGAGAAAGGGAGTGAAGAACATTCGAGTTTGGTTCAAATAAGTAGGAAGAAAATGGTGCGGTGTGTTCCAGCGAGTGCCTGTGTTGAGAAATAAGAGTTAACACACAAAGTATGGTGTCCCAAGGTGTTTTTAACGAAAACAAACGAGGCCAGCAGCAATGGCCCGCAGACGGCAAACACCTTGGTACAAAGCAGTGATTTAGCAGAGGAGCACTTCGGCAGTTTCAGTGTTAACTGACTGTTTCGAGGCACCACGTTGTTTGTGCATGGCTCGGTCAAGCCCAGATATATAAGATACAGAAAGAAGAAAGTTGTCCTATTTCATGAAAGCATGTATTAAAGCTGCGACCAGCCAAACTTTAAGCTTGGTGCTTTTACGCGCGTTCAAAACCAGACTTTAGCCAAACAAATGATAGAAGTGAACGGTAAAAACTTACCAATTAAACCGCCGACCATGAAAGAAAATGCCTGAAACAAAAGCAAAATAACTCCCACTATCACCAACTTTTTGGTGCTCATGTTTTCAATAATAGCCCCCGCCATGGCAAAGGTCTGGGTACAACTATCACACCGAGCGAGTAACAAACAATACTGTGGTGGGAAAGGGACGAAAACGCGTCATCCACGGCCAGTTTCAGGCGAGCTGGGTCCCCTCCGCCGCTCTGCTCCTGCCTTTCAACTTCGGAGGAGGAAAAGAGGAGGAAAAACCGGAATCACATGACCTCTCAGCGTTATCCCGAGCTTGCCAACACTAGCCCGGCGAAGGATGTGTGGGGCGCCACTGCATTGCAATAGAGGCTGGTAATGCAGGTACCGTGTCATTGGGTGACTGTAATAACGCCCCTGATGTGCGGGTACAGCTGCAGGGCTATTTAAAGACGGGGCTTAGAGGTCCCATCTCATGTTTAGCGCAATAACCGCCAACGCACTGTCCTTCAGCCTATTCTTAATCCACGTTAAAAAAAAAAAAAGATGTGGCTTCTGCATTTGGTTTGTCACAACCTGTAAAATGTTGCTTTACAATAATTAAATAATTGAATCATCTGAACAAATCCTCTGATCTAAATGGGCCCTAATCTAATCCCTTTCATATATACCTACATCTGGAGCTATTACACTCCTATGACTTTGAAAAAATACATTTTGAGATACAGTATAATGGTATATTTATTTTAAACTGGTTTTCATTACATTAGGACAACTGGTGGCCCGTGGACACAGATAGCAGGCAAGTATAGAGGTTTAGATAACTCATTAGGTCAAATATAATTATACACATGTAGCACGGGCATTTCTTTGTATATTTACATTTCAAACGACACAGTGCCCAATATCTCAGTTATACAGTCTTACAGGTTCCAGTACTGGCTGCTATTTCTTCTGAAAGAAACCTGTGTGTCTGTATAACCTAAAGCAGCTGTGCTTTCATGTCTTTTTCCTACTTAGACAGATGCTGTAAGCTGCAGCAAGATCCCATTCTCTCTTCCCCAGAGAGGGGCTTGGCTGATGCACCATCTGACAGTTTCTGCAGGGCTGATTCAAATTTAAGACCACGTTCACACTGCAGGGTGAAGTGACTCAAATTCGATCTTTTTTGCCCAAATGCGACCCATATCCGATTTCCTTATGACAGTGTGAACAGCACAAATCCGATTTTTTTTTTTCCAAATCCGACCCAGGCCACTTTCATATGTGGTCCTAAATCGGATACGTATCCGATGTTTTGCAATGCGACTTCAGTCTGAACGGCCAGGTCGCATTTCATGCGATTTTTATGTCATTGAAATGCGACAGACGTCACAATTCTGCGCTGGAGGAGGCGAGGCCATAGGCAATATTTGTGCTGTCCTTCTTCTTGATATTCTTCCTCTTATTATTTCTTTATTTTGATTGCACAGTAACT